TTTCTGAGTAAGCAGTACCAATGCAGTGTGCCCCTCACAAGGTGTTTTCTCGGGCCCCATGAGATGCCTGAGAGGGAAAACATACTTGCTACGCAAGCTGTCTGGCAGGAGTTTGATCCTTGGAGACCATATAAAGGCAGGAGGAGAGAACCAACTCCAGAAGGTGTACTCCAAATCCCACATGCCTGTAATAGTGTGAACACACTCACACCCATTCACACTCACCCACACTCACTCATTCCCAATTACCCACTCTCACATGCACACTCATTCTCCCTCTCTCTCTCACACACACATACACACATGTGCACAGGAATAAGAGTAATTTTAGAAGATTTTTGCACAAATTTGTAGATCTTTAGAGGAACAGTTAGAGGATATGTTGTCTGACAAAGACAATTTTACAAATGCTTCAGTATCACTGGGGGTACTCCCTAGATTTTGTTACAACAAATCTAGTTTTACAAAAGACAATAAATACCCACTATAATGCTGTTTTATATTTTAAAAAGCATCTTAAATAAGTGAAATAAGTGAAATAAGCAATGGTCTTAAATGACTGCTCAAGTCTATGGCTGTAGCGTCCCACACAAGGCTCTTTGAAACCACCAGACCTTTTATCCAGACCAGCCAGTGAGGAAACTCTAGTGACCCATTAGTTACTTACAGTGATTTTAAACTGTTCCCAGACTTCCAAATCTCTTCTCTCACTTTTTTTTATTTTTTACATTTTCTTATTTTTATTAATTAATTAATTTCTTTTATGTCCCAACCACAGCCTCCCTTCCCTCCTCTCCTGTCACTCTGATCCCTTCCCAAGCCATCCTTCCTCAGTATTTTCTCAGAAAGGGGTAGGCCTCCCATGAGTATCCGAAAAGCATGGCATATCAAGCAGTCATCAGACCAAGCACCTCCCCCTGTATTCAGGCTGGGCAAGGCAATCAGCATGAGGAACAGGTTCCCAAGAGACAGCCAAAGCACCAGGGACAGCCCTGCTCCCATTGCCAGGAGTCCCACAAAAAGACCAAGCTATACAACTGTCACACATATGCAGAGGGCCTAGGTCGGTCCCTTGGACACATTGGCACAGAAGACAACTTCCTGAATAGAACACCAGTAGTACTGACACTAAGATCAACAATTAATACCTGGGACCTCATGAAACTGAAAAGCTCCTGTAAGGCAAAGGACACTGTCAATAGGACAAAACAGCAGCTTACAGAATGGGAAAAAAAATTTTCACCAACCCTACATCCAACAGAGGGATGATCTCTAAAACGTATAAAGAAGTCAAGAAACTAAACACCAAAACAAAACAAAACAAAACAAAACAGACAAAGAAACAACAACAACAAATAATCCAATTAAAAAATGGGGGTACTGACCTAAACAGAGAATTCTTAACAGAAGAATTTCAAATGTCAGAGAAACACTTAAAAAAAATTTCATCATCCTTAGCCATTAGGGAAATGGAAATCAAAATGACCCTGAGTTCCACCTTACACCTGTCAGAATGGCTAAGATAAAAACACAAGTGACAGCTCATGCTGGAGAGGATGTGGAACAAAGGGAACACTCCTCCATTGCTGGTGGGAGTGCAAACTTATACAGCCACTTTGGAAATCAATATGGCATTTTCTCAGAAAATTGGGAATCAATCTACCTCAAGACTCAGCTATACCACTCTTCAGCATATACCCAAAGAATGCTCAATCATACCACAAGGATACTTACTCAACTATGTTCATAGCAGATCTATTCAAAACAGCCAGAACTTGGAAACAACCTAGATGCCCATCAACTGAGGAATGGATAAAGAATGTGGTGCATTTACACAATGAAATATTACTCAACTGTTAAAAATAATATCACAAATTTTTTAGGCAAATGGATGGAACTAGAAAAAGTCATCCTGAATGAGGTAACCTAGACCCAGAAAGACAAACAAAGTATGTACTCATCCATAAGTGGATATTAGCTGTAAAGTAAAGCATAACCATGCTACAATCCACAGCCCTGAAGAAGCTAGGTAAGCTAGGTAACAAGGAGGGCTCAAGGGAGGATGCATGGATCTCCCTGGAAAGGGAAATAGAGGTGATTTCCTGGGTGGACTGGGGTGGGTGGAGATGAGAACTTGAGGGATTAGGTTGTGGGGTGGGCAGAGGGGAGAGTACTGAGAAAGATGATGAGAAAGAGAGACTTTATGTAGTCGGAGTCTGGTACAAGCTGGATGCAAGGGAAACTTCCACAAGTCTACAAGGACAGCCCTAGCTAAGATTCCTGACACCAGTGGATACATAGCCTGAACTGGTGATCCCCTGTCATCAGATTGGTAACTACCTTGGTTGTCAGTAGAGAGCCTTCATTCAGTGACTGATGGAAGCAGATTCAGAGACCCAAGACCAAACATTGGGCTGAACTCAGGGAGTCCTGCTGAGAAGAGGGAGAGGGAATTATAGGAGCCAGGGGGGTCAGGGACATTGGAGGAAAATCTTCTCTCACTTTTAACTTAACTATTGTGAACCAAAGGTCTTGATTAATATGTAGATAATGTGGATGTTATGGAATCTTGAAGTCCAAAGTCAAATTATCCTGGGCCATCTTTTGCCCAATTTAATAGCCATCTATTACCCTTCTCTGTGTGTGACCTATCCTCTTTTTGATCTTTAGGTAAATCCTTTGGAATCTACAAATGGACCCCTAAATCCCACAAACCAAAAAGTTAAGTATGCCATCTAGTAGCACCCAAGGCCTATAGCAAAGATTTCCCCAGATTTTGTGACCTGCTTACCAGATATTTCCACCAATGCATTAACAAAGTATCTTGATTTATAATTTCCTTTTCCTGTTAATACAAAATCCCATGCTACTGTTAGCATATTTAAACATGGAACATGGGCTGAGTTAAGTCAGTGTTTCTGGGCCAGGGCCATGGTCACTCATATTTGGTTCCAGAATAAATTGTCTCTTACTTCCTTTGAGGTAGGAGTTGTGTATTTACATCAACACTACATATATGAACAAGTTTAAGTCATCACATGGTCAGCAACTGAGCCAGCAGCATGGCTAGAGAAGCATAAGCTTCTCTACCAGTCACTTCTGGAAGTGAAAACAAGGGGTGCCAAGACGAATGAGGCTGCAGGTGGGGCAGTCTTTGTGGGAGAGGTGCTTCCTTCCACATCCCTATTCTTAGTTCTGGGTCCAGATAAGGGGCAAAGCAGCACTACCCTGTGATGACCCTGTCGAGTCTCCTCAATGCAGCTTTAGTCCTACACGGTTTCTACAAAGCTACTACAGTTCAATGCAGCCAGAGAAAACACTTCACTAAATGTTTTCAGTCAAGCTATAAGACGAAATACAAAATACAAGACAAAAGGATGAAAGTACACTGTGAGGTATACGGTCTAACCCACGGTTAGCTTAACAACTGCTGTAAAATGCCAATAGAATTGTCTTATGTAACATCAGCTACTAGTTGGGCTAGACATGTGAAATGTTTCTATGATAATGAAATTGATGACTATGACAAGCTTCAGCAAAAGGACAACACACAGGTCAGGGTGGGGAAAGGTCACAGCTAGCAACATCATTGTACAGTCTGTGCTGCCATCAGTGGCCATTCTCTCTCTCTTTTAACTTGTGGACACTCTGATGTTGAATCCATACTGGAGTACTACTGCCAACCACACCCAAAGTTAGAAATTATCACAAGAAAGTGAATGAATGAATGAAGAAGACTCTTTGCCAATTGAGGAATCCCTACCAAGCCCATTACCTCAGTCCAAGGCACCTTCACTAGAAATGTCTTTTATTTATTCTCTTTACCTCTTTATTTACATGTCTCACTATGAACACTGCTCATGAGGTGACATTTCATAGAATCAATGTCCACCACACAACTAGAATATTTTCTTTCCTACTTATTGTGCTCCTAAACAAACAAATCAGTAGACAATGACACCTGAATATGAAATGATCAGGTATTATAGTAGAATGAATTGGGAAAACACCAGAAAAGACAACCATAGGGAATCACGCACATGATCCTCCCAGGCTAGAGCCCCTGCCCAGTCCTTTGAGTGAGAAGCTCTCTCTACCTGCTTCCCTCACCCAAGGTGAGCATCCAGTAACTGAATGTAAGCACAGTGCACGGCTACCCTGAGCCTGGCTGTGCCACCCTCCATGCTAAGTGTTTTTAATGCATTGTCTTATTTAGGTCTCAAAGCAACGTTGCTGGCAGTTTCGGGAGCTAACATTATCCTAAACTTTACAGATGGCAATCTCAGAGAGATAAGTAATTTTCCAAGGTTACACAATCGGGTCATAGCTGAGAGTAAAACACACATCTCTTTGTTTCCAGTGCATTTAACCCCACTTAAGAATTCCCAAGCACATTGTTTTGTAAGATCTGAGCACACATTTCCATCTTTTCCTCTAATCAATGAGTTCCTTCAGGGAAGAATTTATTGCTCATTAATTTTACATCTCTAAGGCATAGAATAATGCCTAATAGAGAACAGGAACTCAATGACTGACAAGTAAATAAGATGATGAATTAAAAAAATAAAAGATAAAAGAAATTAATTTGAAAAAAATTGTTAAACTCAATGATCCAAAGCTCATTGGATCCAAGGATGCTGCCCCTATGTAAACTTTGTGCACCTCACTTCTATTTTAGCAACATATGACTCTTTTATGAGAAGCACCACTTTTTACTATAGAAATAAGTAAAGTACCCCAAGTCCTAAATGAATGATTGAAATTCTATAATCAGAACACAGCACAAGCACCACCAGCATATAATCACATGTTGCCTATAATAAGCTACTTGAAATGTTCTAATGGGTTGCAATTTTGCAATCTAGACACAAGAAGAAGATATGCTCTTGACAATATTTAACATAAGTGCTTCAACTGGCTTGGATGGAAAGCAACCTCCCTCTTTGCATTATATAGATATTCTGTTTCCTTCTCAGTAAGCAGACAGTCTTCACTGGTACCTTCACATCCTCTGCCATCTTCCTCCAGCTTTTGGCCAGCTTGACATCTGCAGAAATAACTGCCAATCGTATTGCAGCACTGGTCTTGGCAGCCACCATTGTCAACAGCACATTCATTTATATCTGCAATTGGATAGTTGTATAGAATCAGTCTCTTCAAAGTAAACACACGGAAAGAAACTTCAAAGCCTCTCCTAAAATCGATCCACCAATTTGACATTCCTTCCTCTTCAGATTTAAAGGAGAAAAGAAAAGAGCATCTCATTTTATTTTATTATTTTGTGTCTGTGTGCGTATGTGCATGAGTATGTATGTGTCTGCAAGCATGCCCATGGCACAGCATGCAGATGGAGCTCAGAGGACGACTACAGGTGTCCTCACCTTCGAACCTATTCGAGACGGCTTCTTTCTGTTGTGGCTATGGCAGTTGGCCTATGAGTTTATGAGACCTCCCTTTTCTGTCACATCTTGTCACAGAAGCACTGGAATTACAGCTGTGCAGCTGTGCCCAGCTGTGCATGGGTGTTCAACCTCAGGTTCTCAAGCTTGTGCAGCAAGAGTTTTACCTCGTGAGCCCCAGCCCCAGCATCTCACTTTAATCAAAGCCAATGTGCCGTAGAGAAATAGTCAAGTCATAATCTTTGATATCTGAAGTACTATTTTTAAATAGTTAAATAAGGAGGTTTTAGCATTGTAGATTTGGAGAGTTCATAGGACAGATAGAGAAATTTCCTACCAGTCAGCAATTCAAGATGAGATCCAGAAAATAGAGAGAAATTACAATAGTGTTCTGTAGTATCCAGCAGGGGTTGAGGACTAATCAGAGCTATGGCTTGGTTGTGCCTACTTCAAAACCCATGGCCAAAAGTTATCTTTAGTTATAGAACTCAAATTTAAGCATTCCTCCTATCCAATATGGGACATATTCTAATCCATTTTCAGACTTGATAGTGGCCTGCCAGGCAACAGTACTACATATCTGTTCAATTCAGCATGTTTAGTATATGCAGAGTAGTGATTGTGATAGGTTCTTGCTCAGTAAAATGAACGTGGATAGGAGAAAGCAGAGCATGAGGGAGCAAGGTAAGGAAGGATGGGAGCTTTGGAGAAACAAAGAGAAGAGAAAACAGGGGAGACTGACCAGTGAGGAATAGCAGAAGCCAAATAGAAACAGATATGGAGGAGCTGTGTGTCCAACCTGAGTAACTGTGAGAGCATGGAGTAATGGCTACGGCAGGAATGAGGAGGCAACAGACAGGGAATCTTGACTGGACTTTACTAATTGCATCCATCTCTGGAGATACTACCTTTGAAAGTGCCTTTGCTTGTCTTTAAACTATTCAATGAAGTGTGTCATGCATACAGAAAAGAATACAATCCTCAAATATATTTTTTGAGTTTGTAAAAATAAGGTATACAAGTACCATTTTTTAACTTGTGGGGATCCAATCTGAGGGCTTGTGTGTACTAGGCTATGCTCTGGTGCTGAGCCTATCCACAGACCAGCAGCACAAGCTTACTGTGGGGATCAAGTATGACTATTGTTCAAGAAGCACTCTGTGTAGCTGAAGGTCATAGCTGCTTTGACCTTGAGACACCACATGTCAGCTTCGATTTTTTTGTAATGTGTCCAGACAAACTTGGACTGTACATTTTTTTGTTTTTATGTCTGCCTTCTTTCATTAATCATCCGTTTATAGACACATCCGTGTGCCACATGAACTTGTGGTTCATTCATTCTCGCTCCTGTGTAATATTGTATTCTAAGGATTTATCGAATGTGTATTTATCCATTTCACAGATAAAGCACAATCGATCACTTTCTCGGTTTTAATGACTGTGAAGAATGTTGGCATGAGTATTCTCACATAAGCAAGCCTTCAATGGATTTACACATGTACTTGCACTGGATGATACATCTCAACTGGAATCACAGGACTAAAGAGTCTGACATGTTCTACTTTAGTAGTTATAACCAAGCAGTCTCCCAAAGAGATTAATCTAATTTATACTCCCACCAGCTGTGCATTGGGGACCAGATGCCGCTAATTCCTTCCAGTATTTGGGACATCCTGTTTCTGTTTCAGGTCCTCTGGAGATTTTATAATAGCATCATGTTGTGACTTAATTTGCATTTTACTGGTTATTAATTAGGTTAAGCACATTTTCATGTTATTGGCCATTTGGGTGACATTTGTTGAAAAGTTTCTTCAAACAGTCTGTCAATTTGTTTAACTCTTAAAATATTGGTTATTGTACTTATTGGTCTTGGGTTATAATCTCAAGCAAAGGAGATATTTGTAATCAACTTTGCCTCCCTTCAAGTCTTGAAAGGATGATTTTTCACATGCACATCATAAGAATGGAAACAAATCTATATTTCTAGCAGTCTGTCTATAAAGATTTATCTGATCCGATTAAGAATGTTCTCATTTTGTATATTTGATTCATAAACAAGTGGTAAGTCTTACCACTACTGAATATACACAGAAAATTATTTGGTTTTCTTATTAATTCTATAAGGTGATAAATGACACTGACTGTGTTTTGCATCTCTAAAATCATTCTTACCAAAAAATTGTGCCCTTTTAGTATATTTCTGGATTCAATTAGGATTTTTAAAATGATTTTGGTGGTTATATTCATAATATGAATGGTATTTTTTTCTTTCTCTACTAGTCCCCTGCAGTTTTTGTAACACCAGGTTCTTGTTCTCACCTTTCATGGGAACAGAAGAAAGCTGAAATTATTTCTTTTTTCTATTGTCCAAATAGTTTGGTTTTATTTCTTACTTCAACGTTTGTTTAAGTTCATTTATTATGCCACTTACAGCATGTGGCTGTATTTGTATATTGTGTGTCTCTATGTGTATACTATGTTGTGTGTGTAATGACTTATGAGCTTATTTCTTACATATAAAAATATTCAATTATACAGCTAAATGCATTGGAGTAAATTGTGTCACTCAAGGAATTTTTTTTCTTTATATAAATTTCTTAATATACTGCTGTTAAGTTTTTTTTTTTCAGTATTTCCATACTTTTATGGAACATGCCCAATCTATACTTAGGTCTCCATTCAAGTTTTTTCTCAATATTTCCATACTTCTATGGAACGTGCTGTGCCCAATCTGTGCTTAGGTCTCCATTCTTGTCTCAGAATTCATTCTGAAGAAGGAATACTGAGAAATGTGTTTGTGTTAGGTTATAAATTTTCTTCTTCTTTATTTTTACGAGGATTATTCTAAATTCCCTTATATATTTCTGTTGTCTATCATCTGTTTATAATTTATCCTCTACCATCTATCACCTATCTATCTATCTATCTATCTATCTATCTATCTATCCATCTATCATCTACCTATCTATCTATCTATCTATCTATCTATCTATCTATCTATCTATCTATTATCGATCTATCTGTGTAAGTTAAGTACATATTAATGTATCCATCATTTGTCCATCATATTCTATACCTCTGTTTTAGTCACTTTTCTGTTGCTGTGAAGATACCCATGACCAAGCAACTCTTATTTAAAAAAACAAAAAACAAAAAAACATTTAATTGGGAACTTGCTTACAGCTTCAGAGGGTTTTTCCTTTACCATTATAGCAAGGATCATGGCAGCACACGTTTCTGGAGCAAAAGTTGAGAGCTACATCCTGATCAATAGGGAGCAGACAAAAGCGACACTGGGCCTGGGATGGACTTTGGAAACCTAAGAGCCCACTTTCAGGGACACACCTCCAACAAGACCACACCTCCTAAACCTTCCCAGACAGCTCATCAACTGGGCACAAGTGTTAGCTTATTCTCATTCCAACCACCTCACCACCCATTCAGCATCTGCATCCCAGCTGTTTGCCACCTGTCTTGTGTTTTCCAAAACAAAGGTCTAGGCGCCATTCACCCTTCAGCATTGCTCATCGCCTTCTCCCTTAACTGTCTTGTCCTTTGTCGCTGCTTTCCTCCTGCTTTCTGTGTGTCTCTCTCAGTGTTCTAACTCCAGTCAGTGTCTTTTGTTCTTACTCTAAAATTATATTTCTGTTCCCCTGTATATGTGTGACAACCCACCCCAACTGGAAGTGCTTAAAAAGAAAATGGGTTATTTTCTTTCATGTTTCTAGAGATTGACAGGCCCAATTTGATGGTCAGTAGCATCAGGTGGCAGTTGAACTCATCCTGTATGCTGGCTGTTCACTCACAAATTGGGAATTGGGTGGAGGTTCTGGGACTTCTGAAGAAAGAGAAATGGGATGAGGAGAAGGAGGAGAAAGAGAAGGAGCGACAGGAGGAGGAGCAGGAGGAGCAGAAGAAGGAAGGGCAGGAGGAAGAGGAGCTGGAGGAGGAGGAAGAGCAGGAGCAGGAGGAAGAGCAGGAGGAGGAGGGGTAGGAGGAGGAGCTGGAGGAGCAGGAGGAGGAGGAGCACGAGAAGGAGGGACAGGAGGAGAAAGAGGAACAGGAGGAGGAGTAGGAGGAGCAGGAGGAAAAGGAGCAGGATGAGCAGGAGGAGGAGCTTGAGGAGGAGAAGGAGCAGGAGAAGAGGAGCAGGAGGAGGAGGAGGGGCAGGAGGAGGAAGAGGAACAGGAGGAGGAGTAGGAGGAGCAGGAGGAAAAGGAGCAGGATGAGCAGGAGGAGGAGCTTGAGGAGGAGAAGGAGCAGGAGAAGAGGAGCAGGAGGAGGAGGAGGGGCAGGAGGAGGAAGAGCAGGATGAACAGGAGGAGGAGGAGGAGGAGAAGGAGCAGGAGGAGAAGGAGGAGCTTGAGAAGGAGAAGGAGCAGGAGGAGGAGGAAAAGGAATTTGTCCTTTGATAAAACACTTTCATGTGTGACCTGGGAGAGAAAGAAACTACGGCAGCTTTTGAAGACAGCATATTGCACTGAGATGTTTGGGGTAAAATTTTCCTAAAGCTAAAGTACTGGCTATGCCTCACAGTTTTTCATGCTGCATTTTAATTATTGTTCAACTCAAAACATTTCCTACTATAAATGAACATTTCTTCTTCAGATTATTTTAAATTATATTTTGGGGACTTTCTTCAAAACCATTGACAACTTTTTAATGTCTTATTATGAAATGCTAGGTCAATTTCATAGTGGAGACAGTATATATTCAGCAAAATC